TAAAAAAGGATATGTTAGGAATGGATAATACTCAGATGGTACCTTCCAGATACCATGGTGCATTGTTAAAACAGTGGCCTGTGTGTCAGGGATGTGGGGGCGCCGTCATTTGTAGTCCTTCCAGCTCCCAATTCCCACTGTGACATGTGACTCGGGTGGGCAATCTCTAGGGTCATCGCATTCCAGAACATCAATGCCTTGGTGACTCCAGAGGCCCAGACTTTTTTCTACAGTCAGCACTTTCTATATCCTCTCAGAAGAGTTCCAGTCACAAGAGTTCCCAATGACAATAGGGCTCATATACTGGATTCTGTTTGTTTGCTACTGTAATCTCTCTGTGGCTGTTTTTTCCCTCTCCTAAAATATTTATCAAACCCATCTCAAGGATTTTATGAAGAAAAATAACAAATAATAAAATGCTTTGAGAGAAAAGGGAAAATTGTTACCCAAGTCTTAAGTAAAATTAATGTTCTCAGTTAGGCCAGTTTTACAATTTAGTCTGTTCCTTTCCTTAACTGTAACTGAAGAATAGTCTCTATTACTGAAAGATGGACAGCTCTCAAGCACATTTTTTATATAGTCCATAGTCATTTCCAAGCACAGAGGTGAGAGTGTGGGTGAGTGGTACATTTGAAGTGCCCTGGCAAACATAACTACTTCTACAGGTAGAACATGGTACAAACCCTTAATGAGGAGTGTGGGTGGATGTCGTTTGCCCATTACCTTACACACATTTTTGTTCCTTTCCAAAATAATTGTTAAGCATCTTATAATCATTTACACCATTCAGTGACACCTAGAAAGCAAGTGCTTAATGTTACTCACTATAGGATAAGGCTAAACCGGTATAAAACAGATTTCTGACCTTCTTCGTTAGTTTGGAGTTCTTATGAATTAAGACTACTATATTTGCTCCTCACCATGTTTTTAATTTGAAAATGCCTTAGTACTTTTAAAAACTAATTATTTTGTTTCTCTAGCTTTTGCCAATTCAAAACATTTTCCCAGTCTCCCTCTCTCAAACCTCCTGCAAAAGGGCATTAGAAATTATATCAGAACCATTTAGTTCTCTCACCCTCCTAACACGAGTCTTCTTCACAGCATATTGAAAAGAATGTTCTAAACTCTGTTAGACTTTTTCCAGTTATAGAGAACTCAGGACCTCACAAGTCAGCCCATTTCATTTTTGTACCACTGGCAAGAAAGCTCTTCTTCATACCAATATTCACCTGTCTACTTTGTCTCTTGTCTTTATCGTCTAATTTCACATTTGAAAGCTATCGACATCAGCACACAGCAACAATTCCCTCAGCTATTGAAGCAACAATGAGCACCTCACTTGTCTTTTTCTGTCCACAAAGTTGTCCCTGGTTGCTTTCAGACATATTGCATCCCTGGAATTAAACTTTTAGGAAATATTTAAGACTCAAATGAGGAATATTCTATTGCATTTCAAACGTCTAGGATTTGGATCAAAAGAATTGATAATGTAATGAAACCTGGCCAGAGAGGTTGCTATGGGAGATCCAGAATTCCGCTGGTGCCTCTGCAAATCATAATCGCTTTCTTCATGACTACAACATGACATTTATAAAAACTGATTTGATGACTTGTTTAAGCCAAAAATCTGCAAAGGAAAAATAGCTGACCTAGCATTTAAGAATCCAGAATAAAAATGGATCTCTTCCCATCAGACAATGCTAAGGAGACTGAATAAAAAGAGGATGTGCATATATCCCGAGAGACTTCAATATGAGACACCCCATCACCTATAAGAGAGGAGACATTGCTTCTTAAGATAGAGTTTACGGGTGACTTCATAGTCATAAGCCATTTTAATTAGAACAATTTTGCAAAATTGAACTGGGAGAACAAATGGAGAGCAGTCTGGCCCATAAAAAATACATACATGTAATTTTCTGGAATTACACAGGGCCATTCCCTAAGAGAAAAGAGATGACTCTAATCTTTAGAATCTAAATGAGCAGAATGTAAGCTTTCTTTGTAATGGAATTGTACTGTTGCTAGAACTGTATACATAAACATAGTCAGCTTCCTCTAGTACTTAAAAAAGGAAGTCTAAACCAGGGCTCGCAAAACAGACACCTACCATTCTTGGATGACAGCTCAGTTTGTATTGTAAATGTCATCTATCACATTCCATATTATGTCATATTGAACAAATACTAATGGTATTTTGAAAAAATATCTCCAACTTCCCCAAAGTACAGTTAGGAAACCATGGCATTTTTTCCCCCCTCTGTCCTGAGGCTGATGGTGTTAGCCTCTCTCTGCGGGCATGGCACCACAGCACAGCCACCTCATGTCCCTCACCCACACACTCCACCCCACTTCCCAGTTGAAATTTAAGAAATCTTAGGGGCTTCCTCAGCTACAGTAGTAGTATTTCTAATGCAGTTTCCAATGCGTATTTTTATGGTAAGATCTGTTCAAAAGACCCATTAAAATACTTATTATTGTATATGTTTCCATCAGGTTATATGGTGATTATGAACCAATGGCGACAGCAAATAAAATTACTTTTAGGTATCTAAAGTTATAGCTGAATTCATATGCATCCCATTTTATCGCCACTGAGAATACTTTGATCAAATAATAAAGCTTTATTTTGATCAAATCAATAAAAAATTATAAATAAAATTGAATACAATCTTTCTTAGACCAATGGGGCCCTGACTGGGTATATGCAATTCAGTGCTGATTTCAGATTAATCTGGAAGATCAATCTCTTGTGATTTCTTAAATTCTTTTGAAAAACCATTCCTAATTAAACGTAATTATGAAGAGTGCAGAATTTGGAATCCTACAGAATATGGGTTTGAATTCTGGATATTCTGCTTACTTCCATTACTAATTATTATTTGTATGAAAAATGTGACTAATAGTCATCTTCTGTGTGTGTACTGAGAATTGCATGTGGAAAAATGTATATAACTTTCTTAGAGCAGACTATAAAATTGCTAAATACCAGCTATCATTCTTGCTGTTATTGTCAAGTATTTATAATCCCTTAGTGTGCATTTAACTGTAAAACATTCACTTGTTTGGTGGACATAACTGACAGAAAACTCACCGGAATATTATTAACCCTAGAAACAGGTACACAGAAGCCACTGGTGCCAAGAGTCTGGGAAATCCCCAAATCACCGAGATCTCTGCTGTGGATGGGTTACTTTTGCCATTATTTTATTTGAGTTTATGTTCAGCTTACTTCCTTATATTAGAAAAATACATTTTTTTCAACATCTATTTTCCTAAATACCAACAAAAACAAAGAGATAAATGAAGCCATAATCATTTCACATTTTATGAAATTAAATAAATAAGAAGAAATGTTCATGTGGATCATACAGTATCTCAAAGGTCCAATTTGTGGTTCTGATGAGTTTCTTTCCTGTAGCATCACAGCATACTATGGCTGACCTAGGCTGGGTGTTTCCGGGCTTTCGGAGGATGAGATATTTAATGCATTTGGCGTGAGTCATAAATGTAAATATTCTCTGCTACTAGTTCTGTGCTTCTGGATCTGCGGGGCCGTCGTCGAGGACTCAGCGCCATCTAGTGTCCTCTAGAAACATAGCCGGGGGAATGCATGCTGGGAGAGCGGAGTCACCAGGCACACTGCAGTAATAACCATGTATGGGCACTGCCCGTGATTTCCTTCACTTTCTATATCACTGGATTTGGAAAACTTCAGGTCCTGCTCACCTCCACTGTTTTTCAAATGAGTTACATCACATCCAACGTCATATTACTTTTGTGTTCTCTTAAGGGGTTAAGCAAATACTGTTTCGCTCTATTGCAGACTTGTGTTGCTGCGTTTTTATCACTTGCAGCTGATATTGGGTAAATATGTTGGTTCGAAATGAGAGTTTTCTTACGGTCCACTTAAACCACAGCATGTTCTTCATTAGAGGCAGACTGTTGTCATTCTTCCCTATTTTTGATTCTTCTCTTCTCTCTCTCTATTTTTCCAGATTGTCTACAAAGCCTGGCTGTGTTCCCAGTACTTTGAAGTCTCACAGTTAAGCTGCAGAAAGACAATTCCTTGCAAGCAATACTGTTTGGAGGTTCAGACGAGGTGTCCGTTTATATTGCCCGACAATGATGAAGTCATCTACGGGGGACTCTCCAGTTTCATCTGTACAGGTACAGCGCGCGTGGCAGGCTTTTGTGCCCAGCCTCTCCTGCTGGTTTTGCTTCCTTACGTAATGTTGGTTTGCTTTGTTGCTTCTTTCCACTGATGTAACCTTGAAGATATGGCTGGTAGTTTTCCACGCTTCCTTCACAGAAGCCCTGAAGGGCCTTGATTTGGAGAGGCCACATTCATCTACACTCTACCTGTGACCACAACCATTAGCTTTGTCAAAGGATAATTCTGAGGGCAAAGTGTCAGCAATCATTAGATATGCTTCAATTTCATTTAGACTAGGTTGGGTTCTGCCTACATTGCCTTTATATTACCTAAGAACAGCTGATGTGATAAGGCTAATAAAATCATGTTTCTTCAAACTGATAACAAGTCTATATCCCAAGTCTGTTTTCTGAGAAGTGTTACCTTAAATAAATATCAAGAACATACAGCAGTGTCCACCTCAGTTGTCCGTGTGTGTGTGTGTGTGTGTGTGTGTGTGTGTGTATGTATCAGAGCCACACAATAATGGCCAGATGTAATTTTATCTTATATTTCCCATGACCAGTGTTTACTTCTTTAAGCAAATGATTCAGACTGGGAGAAACACCTATATCAGCATTTGATTTCTGGATACTTTATAAGAATTGCATAACGTAGACAGAATAAGATGCCAAGGATAAGCGTAATAGCTGTTTTCTGAAATCAGTGGTGAGGGACAGGGGAGAACAAGACAGCCTGCCTGGTGTGTGACCTGCAGAGCTTTGCCCTGGGTCCTCTTAGTAAGACGGTGCTGGGCATCATCCTTGTAACTAGATAGTTAGATTGCAGTTTGCTTCGTTTTCAAGTTTTAGGAATAAAACACACTAACATAGGTATCGAGAAACATGAAATCCCTCTTTTTACACCAGACTTTATGTAACCCCTCTAAGACAGAGCAACAAATTGAAATGCTCAACATGATAACTTATTTCTATATCAATATTTATGTGCCTATCTATTAGCCATGCTAAGTGATAAGCCATCAAAAAATAGTTCACCCAAGTTCTCCAGTAAGAACCTGCTTAAACACTGGATGAGTATTTCTTATGCCACCCCATGTTGTGGGAACAGCATGTGAGGAAAGGTTAGGAGACATGCACTTTTGACCTATTTCTGCTGTGCACTCTCTCTGAGCCACTATCTCCTCTTTAGAAAATTAGTAATAATAACAGTCTTGATGCATGTTTGCTATAAAAATTACAGATAAGGGAGAAACACAAGGTATGTTGTCAATAGGCCATAGCTATTGTACATGAGAAAGTGATTTGTGAAATGTAAGATGGTTTGTCAAAATTGTTGTTCTACTGATTTGACACTGAGATCATCTTTCATGCAGCTCCTCTCTGATGGAAGACAAAGGGAAAGCAAGGGGGGGGGGAGTGGGGAGAAAAAGAGAGAGAGAGAGAGAGAGAGAGAGAGAGAGAGATAAAGGGGAAGGAGGGAGGGAGGGAAAGAAGGAGGGAGGGATGGAAGAAAGATATTAATATCTTCTTTCTTTGAATCTGAGCCAAAATTCACTAGGCACAGGGTGTGAATTCATTTGACTTTTCCCATAAAAATTTCAATAAAGGCTCATTAAGTTAAGGCCTTCAATTCAATGATAATTTTAGGACTTTGGAGAAACTCATGGAATTTTATGTAAAGATTGTAGGTTTGCTTATTCACGTGCAAATAGATTTTTTCCTAGTGAAGGCCAGGAGCTTTCACAAGGTTCTCAAAGTAGGGTAAAGCTACAAATGAAGGCTTTGTCATCTCCTGTTTCCTGATCTTTTGTCTGTTTGTGTGAATCTGAAATGCAGGTTTGAATGTTCACTGCCTTTCCTTGTGTGCTTTCAAGGACACCGGGAAGCCAGAGAGAGATGTAATCTCCTTCTGCACAACATGAGCAGAAAGTCCACCTTATATTTTAATTGTATTTGGATTTTGTAAAATCACCTTTCCTAGCCATAGCTACATCCCGTCTTTTTTCCAAGACAGGAAAAGAGGTTTGTCATTGGGTCCAGAAGAAAATGCCATTGACATGAAAAGCTCTCAGGGAGCATCTCCTCACGGAATATGTGAGACTCTAACTCTTCTTCCACTGCAGTCAGTTGGGCTCATGTTCCTTTAGTTACTAAACTTCTCAAAAATGTACAGTGAGGCCTTGACTTACGAGTTTAATTCATCCCGTGACGGAGCTCGTAACTCAAATTACTCGTATGTCAAATCAATTTGAGACACGTGATGCTGGGCTGATGTTGTGGCGTTCACTGTGACGTTCGCTGCGCCAACTAGCAGTGGGGTATCTGAAGCTGGCTCGTAACCTGAATTTTAGCTTGCAACTCGTATCTCGAAAAACTCGTTAGTCAAGGCCCCACTGTATTTTGATAACCAGCAGCCATCACTTTCAGCCTTAGGTCTCAGGGAGAGGGTCCCCCAAACAGGACCCAGAATAGGCCCTGTCTCAGAAGAAGTTTCCCAGAGAACGTTCCCAGAGACCACTGGCTAAACCTATGAAGCCAAGTGACTGGTCACATTTCTAGGGAAACTAGTGAGGCTTTTATATTTGTTCCCAAACATTAGCCCACCAGTTTTACAGATGGACATGAAGATCCAGATAACTCGCCTTTTAGATGAGCTTGGAGTGATTGTGAGTCATCTCAGATGACTTTATGCATTTTGAATGAAATGTCTTCTGTACTCAGGAATATTAGACCAAATATAGTAGAAAAATAAGAGTATTTTTTCCTAGCTTCCCAATTGGCTGCCCACAATCTAACGCCACCTGGGATGGTAGGCTCATAGCAAATTTTCATGTTCACAAGTAATAGCAGATGTCCGACTTCTTTCTCATTGCAAAAAGGTATAGACAGTCATTAATCACATTCTATTAAAAGGAATTCACCAAGCAAGTTGGTCTTAATCTTGCCTCCAACAATCCCTCCTTTAAAGAATTAATAAGTGGTGTTATTTCCATTCTATATGATAAAAAATATAATCATTGATCACCAAGAGTTGAAATAATAATTTCTTTCAAATTCAACATGTTTAATTATACTGATTTTCCTATCATGTTCTGGAAATACATCCAATTCACAGCTTCCAGAAGGATAACGAGCTCCTCTAAGAATCTACCTCAAGAAAGCTTTCAGTAAGCATATAACTCCATACGGCTTGTTGCCAGATTTTGTCCAAGTGAGGGTCAGTTTTGCTCAAGGCGCTTCTCCAAGATGACAAACTAGTGGTGTGGTGATGACTTTTCTTAGAGGCCTCTGCCTGCAGCCTTTTAGAGATGTGGAATTACAGGGCGCCCAGTTCTTCCGCTCCTATCGGCTTTTACTAGACATATACTGATGCTTAGGGATCTTATCATACACAGGAAAAGTGCATCGCAACCCTTGGAATCAGTGAGCCAATTAGAAGATTCAGAGCAGACAAAGTTTCTTTAAATAATCCGGAGTGGTTTATAATTTCGGTAACAGTTATCGGATTCAATATTTAGTACATCTTTTCTTTACAATGCTTACATAACTTACCCACACCCTAAACGTGAACATTTTAAGTGTTTATGTTTTGATCATCGGCTACTTCATGTGTCTATGATCCTGTCAGTCCACAACGAATGGAAAAACCTGAAGTACCTGAGAAGGCATGTCTATTGCTATACAATGCCTTTGACTGAGGATGTTTCAGAAGGTCATGACCAAATGTTCTACCCACAAGCCTAGATGACAAGAAGAGCCCCTTTTTGTATGTTTAACTCTGCTCTCGTTTTTAAGAGAAAAAGGAAAGACGCCTTGCCTGCGATCTCTCTTGGATTTTCTTTTAAAGAATAAAGCTGACACATTGCTGAAGGAGTGTTTTAGGAATTAATTAGGGAGGAACTCTGAGGCGCTGTCAGGGGGAAACTGTCACTTAACTGTCAGTCATTATTGAGCTGAAGTTTTCCAAGGTGGGCTGTGTTCGCAAACTCAGTTCGCTTAATGCACTCCTAGTTTAAAAACTTGGTTCCTTATCTTTAAAGTGAGGGGGTGGAGTCGTCGGTGGATTCCGTGTTGTCAACCCATCACTGAGGTGATTATTCGGGTTCCCCTTTACACACTCTTTTCCTTGTTCTCCAGTCCCCTGGAGGAATCCTTGATTGCTTACCTGCAATAGGACCCCAACATTAAGAAAACAGAAGTGGCAGAATATCACAGGTTGTGGGTGCTATGGTAACACACATTATGAAAATTACCATTTGATTGATAGGTACAATGGAATTGGCATGATTTGCTGCTATATTTTTTTCATAGAAAAATTATTGAAAGAAAGAGTAAAAGTTGGTCTGCTGGGGGTTACTGAAAATTGAGATAAAACATATTTTGATAATTTTATGTAAATTCGGCATTTCATTTTTTTTAGCTGTGACAAGAATAAGGTTATGTTTCTGCATCTTGGGAAAATACTGTGGGCTGTATTTTACTGACAGGCCTGGTAATGATGTGCTGGAGGACGCACGCCCCCTAGTGGCTCAATATGCGCTACTGCAGAGGACCCTAAGGAGATTATTGCCTACAGGAAAGAGAAATAAGTAATCCTTTGAGGAAAAAAAAAAGAGAGAGAAAATAATTTGACATGCATAGTGATCAGATTAGAAAGGAAGATTTTAATGTTTGATGTCGAATAATTAACATGAGAGAGTTCACGACTATGAAAGAACATTTCCAGAATCCATCACTAGGGAGTCATGATAAATAATTTTAAAAGATAGCATAAAAGATTTTCTCATTAAAGGGGTATTTTAATAGAAAAAAACTGCTACCCGTAGATTTAAATTTGTACATCTATGCTATTTTTAATCTCTGTTTCCCCAGCGTGTGACTATGTTTTATTATTTTCTGAAATGAGGGGTGTTTTGAAAAAAGGTATATGTGCTGTAACTGAAGTGTCGTTTGCTGAAATGACACTTCAGCTATAGTACAATTTGAAGTCACACAAAATACTTTCATAAATA